GCCCCCTCCTCGGCCTGAACCCCACGGCCCTGGCCCGCCTGAGGGCCCTCCCCGGCCCCCTCCTCCTGCTGGGCGTCTGGGGGCCCCCCGGCACCGGGAAGTCCTTCCTCCTGGACCAGCTGGCGGGACACGGTACAGGTGAGCCCCCCTTCCAGGTGGGGAGGGGTCCTTTGGGTCTCTCGGGGGAAGGTGAGCCCCTCATTGCCCCTCCCTCCTTCCCTTTTGCCCCACACAGGCTTTGGCCCCACACCAGGCCTCTGGCTGCGATGGCTGCCCCACCCGACCCGGCCGGGCACGACGCTGGTCCTGCTGGACTCAGAAGGCCTTCAGGAACAAAGCGAGGCGGGGGTGAGGCTCGGGGGGGGAGGGGATTCCACCTTGGGTGGGAGGGAGAGAGGGGACCTCCCTTCAGAACGATGGGAGCTGTGGCGCCAAACATCCGGAGGCACCTGGGCAGGGATGGGAGCAGTGGTGGAGACAGTTGTGTTAGCCATCCACGCTGCCTGTTGCAGTCGTGCAGTCCTTACCTGTCATCTTTCTGGGCAAAGTTCAAGGTATTGGTTTGTCATACCTTGCCTCAAGCCACAACAATAATAATATTGTTGTACCTGCCAGCAGGCGAGGCAGGTAATATTATTATTGTAGTTGTGCATTATTAATAATACAAAACAATAATAATATTGTTGTACTTGCGAGCAGGTGAGGCAGGTAATATTATTGTTGTTGTGTATTATTAATAATAAACAACTACAACAACAATAATATTGTTGTACTTGCCAGCAGGCGAAGCAGGTAATATTATTATTATTGTTGTTGTGTATTATTAATTAGTATTAATAATAATATTGTTGTACTTGCCAGCAGGCGAAGCAGGTAATATTATTATTATTGTTGTTGTGTATTATTAATAATACACAACAATAATAATATTGTTATACCTACCAGCCAGCGAGGCAGGTAATATTATTATTGTTGTGTATTATTAATAATTCACAACAACAATAATATTGTTGTACCTGCCAGCAGTGTATTATTGTTATTGTTATTGTTATATCTTTCCTGCCCCACCTTCCCTCTAATTTTGCTCAAGGTGGCAGACATGACCACCCCCTGCTATCCTCACAACAACCTTGTGAGGTTGGCCAAGCTGAGGGAGGACCGCCTGGCGTAGCAGCATCCAAGGGGTTGTGGGGCCGTGTGTCCCTGGCCTCTAAGTCGGGGTCTCTGCTGCCCTTTACTTCCCTTGAGAACCCCCAAATCTGCCTCCGCAGGCACCGTTCCCTTCCGTTAGCCCTTGCCTTGGCACCCCGGTGGCCCCTTGCTGGCCTTGACTAGCCTTTGCCCCTTGACCTTTCCCCTTGCTGCAGGGCGGTGAGGACCCCTCCTCGGGGCTCTTCTGCCTCAGCGTCCTGCTCTGCACCGTCTTCGTTTTCAACTCCCGAGGAGCAGAGGAGCCCCAGCAGGAGCTGGACCGGCTCTCGTATCCTTCCCAGGAGAGGCATCTTTCCTTCAGGAAGACCCCCCCCCCCCACATGGCCC